GGGATTGGAGTGTTCTACAACCTGGTGATGGGATTTCTCCAGCATTACTGATCAGAAGTAGCATTTCTGGCTCTTGTTCAGATAGGATACTCATCTTCTCCTGCAATCATGGGAATTCCTTCTCTTCTTTTCTTAAGACGCAGATGCTGGGGATGGTGCCTTTGTATGTGGTAGGCACAGGCTCTACCACTGAGCTCCTTCCTTCCTCAGCTCAAGAACTCTTATTAAAAGGAACATCTTACGCATGCACCTCTCCTCTGCCACCCACAACTCTGAAGGCAGAAACCAAAACCACCCATAAAATTGTGTCTGGAAGGGGGAGAAATAACCCAAACATTGCATGCACATATGAATAAAATAAAATTTATAAATAAATAAATAAATAAAATTGTGTCTGGAAAGTATGCCACCCCCATCCTGACCCCAGAAGGTGCCAGCTGCATGGGGTGGGTGCTGGTGATCAAGTCCAGCCCAGCGTCTAGCAGTGTGCAGCTAGGAGCAGCTAAGAATAGCTAGGACAGACTGCATAACATCTTCGAGGCTCTACTTCCTAGAGAATTAAGATACCAAGATTATCTAAGTTATAAAGTTGAAAGGATTAAAAAAGATAACACAGGAGAAGTACTAATTTCTAAAAAGCTCAAAAACTGTGTTTTGTTCTTTTTATGACATAAATACTAGAAGACACTTATACTAGGTTTGTGACCTCAGACAAGCTGCCAAATCTCCCTGTTTCTCTGTTTTCTCACCTATCAAAGGAGATAATAGAGTAATGCTTTCACAGGGTTTGTTGGGATGAGTCAGTGCATGACTAGCACTTGGAATAGTGCTGGCACCTGGCAAACATCCACTAAATGTTAGCCTTCGTTATCACAGTTGTTCGTTGGATGGGTCTCTCTGGCAATAGTGTGGAAGATGTAGAAGCAAAGACGTATGGAGTCAGTGAGGGGAATTTCAAGAGACCTGAGAAGATGAGACCCTGAGAGAAGGGAAGAGGGACCACAAGACCAGCAGGCCCATGGAGCAGAGGACAAGTTGCTCTTCCTAAGGTCCAATAAGCAGGCCTTTGTGAGTGGGAAGTGAAAGCCTTGGATGACCACGAGGTGTATACTCAGTGCCTGGCTGGACACTTCACCCTGAAAGAAGAACTGAGGATCTGAGGATGTGGTGAATGAGGGAAACTCTGGAAATGTTGAGTTAAAGCACCTGTTGATCTGTCCATGACACATCCAGTGTGTGGTTTTGGCTATCTGGTTCTGAAGCACAGATAAGGTGCCTGGACAGGCAAGGCAAGCATGCTGTAAATAGCAACAATAAATGTGAACTCAGGGAGTTCATGCAGAATGCCACTCCTGCAGAGAAGATGAGCCTAAGGACAGAAAACTCGAGATCACAATGAAGAGCCAGAGCAGGGAACACAGAAAAGGAGTCCCTAGCTATGGGGGGTAGTGCACACCTGTGCAGGATGGGGTCTGACCTTGAGGCCAGCCTGGTCTATAAATCCTGTCAAAAGGGAAGGGGGGGAGGGGAGGAGAGGGGAGGGAATGAATGACTGCTTCAACTGTGAAGCTGGGCACTAGTAGCTCACACCAGTAATACTATCAACTTGGGAGGCTGAGATTGGGAGGATCATAGTTTGAGGCCAACCCAGGCAAAAACATCATCAGTTCCATCTCAATCAATATCTGGACACAGTGGGATGTGACTGTCATTCCAAGCTACATGGGAAGCTGGGATTAAGAGGATTGCAGTTCAAGGACAGCCTGGGCAAAAGAATTTGCAAGACCCTATCTCAATGAAAAAAAAGCCAGGCATGATAGCATGCACCTGTCATCTCAGCTACAGTGGGAATCATAAAATAGAAAGATCATGGTCCAAGCCCACCTGGGCATATCTCCAAAATAACCACAGCAAAAAAGGCTGAAGGCATAGCTCAACCACTAGGGCACCTGCCTAGCAAGCACAAAGCCCTAAGTTTAAACTCCAATACTGCCAAGATAAACAGATAGATAGATGGATAGACAGATAGACAAACAAATCAATACATACATACTGTGGCTGAGAGAAGAGGAAAGAAAAGGTGGAGACAAGAAGTGAGTGTTAGGGGTCAAGATGCAGGAATGGCCAGGCATCAGTGGCTCACGCCTGTAATCCTAGCTACTCAGGAGGCAGAGATCAAGAGGACTGTGGTTCGAAGTCAGCCCAGGCAAACAGACTCTATCTTGAAAATATTCAACACAAAAAAGGGCCCATGGAGTGGCTCAAGGTGTAGGCCCTGAGTTCAAACTCCAGTACCCCAAAAAAAAAAAAAAAAAAGCAGGTGTGGTACATGGGGGGACATGTTGGTCCTCCAATAACCATTTTCAGTTTTTTTTTTTTGTCTTAAAATGAATATTGGTATTGATTCTTTTCTAGGTTCTAGAAAAATTCATTTAAGAGTTTGATTGATTTGGGCTTCATTCATTAAAATATTTGGCCAGGTACTGAAGACTCAGGCCTGTAATCCCAGCTACTCAGGAGGATCGTGGTTTGAAGCCAACAAATACAGAGACCCTATCTCAAAAATATTCAGTACACAAAACGGCCAGTAGAGTGGCTCAAGTGGTAGAGCACCTGCCTAGCAAGAGCAAGGCCCTGCGTTCAAACCCCAGTAACCCCCTAAAAAAATAATAATAATAATTATAATGTCTACTGGGATATTAAAGTAACTGGAATGGGTGTTGGAGGCCAAGTCGCAGGGCACTGATGGGAGGGAGAAGCCAAGCCCAGAAAGGGTGAATGCTGTGAGTGACTGAGAAGATGGAGGTAAGGGAGAAAGGAGGGCAGAGAAGGCAGAGCAGAAAGGGTAGGTCAATGGGGCAGAGTCCCTGGGAAGTGATCCATGCCGAAGGGCTGACCTCAGTCGGGTGATAGGATGAAGGAGCATGCATGGATCATAATTATGAGCACAGGGTCTAGTGAACTTGACCATTAGACCACAGTGGCATATCCAGTTTTCTCTTGAAATAAGGAAGCAGGTCATTCAAGGAGAGTGGATATGTCTGGGGTAGGGTGGAGCAGCTTTGAGAAAAGTGAAAGTCTGGCAAAGGCACTCAGGAAAACGGGTGGGGAACTGAGCCAAGGATTGAAGGCAGCATTGGAAGCCTAGCTCAGCTAGGAGGCCAGGAAGTTTTGGCAGCCTTAACCTTTAAAATTGTATGATCTTTCTGGGCCACACCCCTGCATCCCAGGTATAGGACACAAGAAGCCAAAAAAATCAGGCATTATTCTGCAGAACAGGTGAAAGAAAAAGGTCAGCGGGCTGAGTTTCCAAAGTGATGTACAAGTAGAACCAACAGGGATCAGAGAAGGAAGAGGACAAGAGCACTCATGACACCACCTAGGAGAGAGGACTCTGAAAAAGTAAGACTATGGTCAGATGGTGGGGCAAGATTCTAGAAGTGGTTCTTATGACACAGCAGTGAACTGCTTTTTTGGAAAAGAGAACCAGTTGACGCTGCCATTGGCAGTGTATGACGCTGTGTCTCTCTTCTCCCAAAACAGCAGCAGGCCATCGTCTTGAACTCTGCCAACTCGGTAAGTGAGAAATGGAGTCTTGAATTTTGCATTTCTTAGATGACTTGTCATTATGAAAGTCAAGTCATATATTTCCTGGTCATCTGTATGTCATTTGGGAACTCTGCTTATGATACTTGCTCAGTAGGGAGGCAAGAACTTGAAACATTAAGGATATTTAACCCTCTGTTGTGACTACTGTCCATTTTTTCCCCATAGCATTCAACATAATTTTAATTATGATATAATACATAACAGACAGAAGTTTAAATTTTCTTTTTTTCAGGCCTAGGGATCAAACCTTGGGCCTCTAAGCACTAGGCAAGTGCCCTGTCACTGAGGTACACCCCTAAGCCCAGAGTTTAGTTAAATCTGTAAGTTATCTTGTATTATTCCTTCTCTGCACTTTTATGCCAAACTGTGAAGTACTTTCCATGATACACCATATTTTCTTCTATTTTTTTTTAACATGAAAAAAATGTTTTTTTCCAGTGCCAGGGATTGAACTCAGGGCCTCATGTATCATAGGCAAGTTCTCTACCACTAAGCTGCATCCAGCCTCTGCATGAAACTCTTAATCCATTTGGAATTTATTTGGCATATGGTGGTGAGATGAGATCTAAGCTGGAAATTTCTCGCTATACTAACCTGTTGTCTCATATTTTTCCGCAGTGTCTTATGACGCCTCCATATCACATGCCAGCATACCACGGCTTGCTCCCCTATGGGGTTAGGAGCCCTACTTCACAAGCGTGAAACACAGTACAGAGGCCAACTTGGCCAAGGTCAGAGAAGGGATCTCAGCTCCTCAGGCCCACTGCACTAACGCAGTTTTCGTTTTTTTTTTAAGCCCTCATTCACTTTAAAAAATATAACTGAATAATTGCCATGAAAGCTGATTCTGAAGGAAGAGGGATCTGATGATCACAAAACCTCAAGAACCATGTTTCTACTTCTTGGGGGAAGGGAGGCTCTCATTTAGAATACGAGTGTTTTGGAGTCCAGTAGAACAGCATACACCAGTGTATGAAATGCACATTGGGAACCGGTATTTCTTTAGAAAGCAGTCCCAGCATGGAGCTATCTGAGCAGCTCTCTGATAACTAGAGCATTTCTGAGCTGCCAGCCAGCTAGATGGATTTTCCTTCATCCTGGGGTTCATGTTCATGGACATAAGGATCTCAGAAGCCCCTGATCTGTGGATGTAGATAATTTTTTTCTGGCCAGAGGGTTAGTAGAATCTCCAACTAAAGTTTCCAGTAAAGTTTCTATTCATAAAGACTGCTCTAAGATCCAGAGCCTTCAGTTAAGTCCGCTGCCTTATGACCTATTAACCACTTCCTTAGAAGTGACACTGACATGTTGCCATGGGTGCTCCATTTAAATTCCTCTCACCATTTCTCAACTTCTTCATCCAGTTCCTAAAAAGTGTACTGCAGGGGCTTGGGGGCATGGCTCAGCGGTAGAGTGCCTGCCTAGCAAGCACGAAGCCCTGAGTTCAAACCCCAGTGCCACCAAAAAAAAAGAAAAAGTGCACTGCAATTGTTATTCCCACATGGTTGGACTAGTAGAAGTACAGTTTCCTGCATTTAAAATCTGCCAGGCAACAACACAGAGCATAAGTCTGATGTAAAACTGGACTCATTCCATGTGATTCTTAGAAGGAACCCAGAGTACAGAGTTATCCTGCCTATTTAAAAAATCACTTTCCAAGTTAGCCACGAAGGAACGCTTCCCAGACAGAACTCTGTTCCCAGAGAGGCACTGGGGATACAAGAGTGACTGCAAGAGGAAAAGCCACAGGATTGGGACACAATCTATCAGCACAGCTTCAGCCTCCTTAAACAGGTCACATTGCCATGGCAGCTTCACTGCTGGCTGGGATCCCCAGTACTCAATCTCCAGCTTCTTTTGTAGCCTTTGCAAAGGATGCTCTGTCTCCTACTTTGCAGATTCCTCACTCCTGTTGGGCTCAGCCCAGACTGAGGCGGCCCCTTCTCTTTAGTCCCTTCTCAGTCCCGCACAGCATACATAACATTTCAGGACATATTTATTAGGGTCTTGCCTAGACTGTATCCCAAGTAACATCAAATTCCAAAATTATATCCTCCTGCCAAAATGTTGGGTGATGCCCACTCATATCCTTAAAGGTCAATTTACTTTCTTCTGCAAAAAGTAAAATAAAATAATGAAATCACCTGCCAGCTTTATGACTAAGACAGAGAACAAAGGCTCAAATTTCAGACACTAAAGATGTGTGGCTAAAAACAGAAGAATGAAGCTTACAGACCTTCTGCATTATAACACTTGCATTTTAGCAAAATTTAAACATTCCTTATCATGTTTCTGGTATGCCCAATGGGTGTAGTCATATTCCCTTTACACAATATTATTGCAAATACTTACACACTTACATATTATTTTGGAATCTAACCACTTAAGTAGGGATAAAAAAGAAATAATAGGAGCTAATTCCAAGATGGCGGCTAGAGGTAGGAAGCAGAAAGCGACCCTCCTATAGTGAAATCTTGGAGAGACGCTGGAGACACACTTTGCAGGCATAATCACCGAGAAAAGGCATAACTTTGACTCCTCCACATCTCCAGCCGGCGCAGAGAATCTCCACTTCACGTTAAACGGAGAACCGAGGAGGCCCCCGGGCCGCCAGTGGCCGGCGCCCATATGGCTTGGGAAGACGCGGACCAGGTGAGCTTCGCGGTACCGCGGTTCCCCTACAGACAAGCCTGGGCCAGAGCAGCATAGCCCCCTGGACAGACTGACCTCCACCCGGGAAAAAAAGAGAAACTGAGTACTAAGCAATAAGAACAGTTAAGACACGCTGGAAAGAGGGTGGGGCGCCCTGAGCGCTGAAGATTGGGGGAAGGGAATCCTTCCCGGGACTGTAAATAAACGAGCCGGGCGGGCCGGAGAGGCTCTGGCGGGAGCGGGGCGCGCCCAGCAACCAGGAGTGGGGACGCTTGTGAGAGGAGGGAAGACCCACTTCCCACGTGAACTGTAAATAAACACGCAGGCCTGACAACGCGGGGCAGTGTCACCTTTCCCAGTGCTTGGAAAGGGAAAAGCCTGTAGCAGAGGCCCCCCGCACAGGAGAACTCTGAGCAAACAAAGCCTGTGGGACCAGGTGAGTGCTAAGCTCACCCCAGAGATCTGCATAAATAACGCCGCCAGCTACAGGCTGAGAGCAGCAGGCAGGCAAGCCACAGTTGCAGATACCACTCTCAGAACTGCCTCCAGACGCTTTTTTTTCTTTTTCTCCCTACCTTTGATGAGAGAACAACCGAATTACACCTGCAAGCCGAAAAACTTACTGAAACTGTATTGCATTTGAACTGGGGACACTTGGTGGGGCTTTTTTTTTTTTTTCTTCTGTGTGTGTGTGAGTGTAGTTTTGTTCTACTTTATGCATCCCCTTTGATGAGACAACTACAGAACAACATCTGAGGCACCAACTCCAGGACTGGAGATTGAGACGGACATCCAAATTATTAAGACTGAAATTGCATTGCATATAAACTTGGAAGTTTTTTGGTTTTTTTTTTTTTAATTTTCTATTTTCCATTTTATTTTAATTCATTTTATATAGATATTACTTTCATTTACTTATTTTTTATTTTTTTTTCTTTGATTTTCAATCCTCTCTCTGTCTCTCTATTGTCTGTTCAGCTTACTGTCGATTAGTACACTAACACTCCCTGTTTATACCTTTGAAACTCTCTTGTCTGATACCTTGTTCTGCTTTCTCCCTCTTGTCTGTATATTTGTTTTCCCCTTTTCTTTAACTTCTTGCTTTCCATCTCAGCTCACTCTTCCATTCTCAATATTACCATTGTTATTATTACAAGCTAGAAAATACTTAATTACACACAGTACAGGGACAGTAACAACACCAAGGACAATGACAGGAAGACAGAAAAAACAAGGAAACCAGTTTCCCCACAGCAAAAAATTAGTACAGGAACCAGAGGGGAATGAAGAGAACAGAAACTCAGAGCCAGACTCCAACAAAATGAAGATAAACTATGCCAAAGGACCCAATGAAGCCACAAGAATAATTTAAAAGAAGACATACTACAAGTACTCAATGAGAATTTTATAGAGATGATACTGGATAGGGTCAACCAAAATGTACAGGAGACACTCAAGAAATTCCAAGACAATAAAAATAGAGAATTTGAAAAAGCAAAAGAAGAAATAAAGGAAACCATAGAAGCACTGTATAAACACCAAAGTGAAAGAGAGAACACAATGAATAAATGGATAAATGAACTCAGGACAAAAATAGACAACAATAAAGAAGAAAACAGCCAGGATATGGAAAACCTCAGAAAAAAGAACGAAACAGAACTGCAAAACAAAACGGAAGGCCAATCCAGCAGAATAGAACAAACAGAAGACAGAATCTCAGAACTTGAAGATGAAATGGTAATTAAAGGAAAAACTGAAGAACTATTAATTAAACAACTCAAGACCTGTGAAAAGAAAATGCAAGAACTCACGACTCCATCAAAAGACCAAACTTGAGAATCATGGGCATCGAAGAAGGAGAAGAGGTGCAAGCGAAGGGAATGCGTAATATATTCAACAAAATAATAACGGAAAATTTCCCAAATCTAGAGAAAGATATTCCCATACAATGCAAGAGGCCTCCAGGACACCAAACAGACCAGATCAAAATAGAACTACTCCACGACATATCATCATTAAAACAACAAGTTCAGAAACTAAGGAAAGAATATTGAAGGCTGTAAGAGAGAAAAAACAAGTAACATACAAAGGTAAACCCATCAAAATCACAGCAGACTTCTCAACAGAAACATTAAAAGCAAGAAGAGCGTGGGGTGAGATCTTCCGGGCACTGAATGAAAATAACTTCAACCCCAGGATACTCTACCCAGCAAAGCTATCATTCAAAATAGATGGAGCAATAAAAGTCTTCCATGATAAGCAGAAACTAAAACAATATGTGACCACAAAGCCACCATTACAAAAGATTCTGCAAGGGATCCTGCACACAGAAAGTGACACCCAACTTAACCATGAAAAGGCAGGCAGCACCAAACCACAGGAAAGAAAAAGCAAGACAGTAGAGAGTAACATCAAGTTAGGTACACACAATCAAACCTTCAAACAACTAAGATAACTAAATGGCAGGAATCACCACATACCTATCAGTACTAACACTTAATGTTAATGGACTTAATTCACCCATCAAAAGACACCGTTTGAAAATGGATTAAAAAAGAAGATCCAACAATTTGTTGCTTACAGGAGACTCATCTCACCGACAGAAATAAGCATATGCTTAGGATGAAAGGCTGGAAGAAGATTTACCAAGCCAATGGCCCCCGAAAACAGCAGGAGTAGCAATACTTATCTCTGACAAAGTAGACTTCAAACCTACATTGATCAAACGAGATAAAGAAGGACATTCCATACTAATAAAAGGGGAAATAGACCAAAAGGAAATAATAATCATCAATCTGTACGCACCCAATGTCAACGCACCCAATTTCATCAAACATACCCTGAAAGACCTAAAAGCATATATAAACGCCAACACAGTGGTTGTGGGAGACTTTAACACCCATTATCATCAATAGATAGGTCATCCAAACAAAAACTCAATAAAGAAATCCAAGATCTAAAATATGCAATAGATCAAGTGGACCTAGTAGATGTCTACAGAACATTTCATCCAACCTCTACACAATATACATTCTTCTCAGCAGCCCATGGAACCTTCTCCAAAATAGATCATATCCTAGGGCACAAAGCAAGCCTCAGCAAATATAAGAAAATAGAAATAATACCATGCATACTATCTGACACAATGCAGTAAAAGTAGAACTCAACAACAAAAGTAAAGACAAAAAACATGCAAACAGCTGGAAACTAAATAACTCATTACTTAATGAAGAATGGATCATCGATGCAATAAAAGAGGAAATTAAAAAGTTCCTGGAAGTCAATGAAAATGAAAACACAACCTAAACCTATGGGACACAGCTAAGGCAGTCTGAGAGGAAAGTTTATAGCCATGAGTGCATATATTAAAAAGATTGAAAGATCCCAAATCAATGACCTAATGATACATCTCAAACTCCTAGAAAAACAAGAACAAGCAAATCCCAAAACAAATAGAAGGAGAGAAATAATAAAAATAAGAGCTGAAATCAACGAAATAGAAACCAAAAAAACCATACAAAGAATTAATGAAACAAAAAGTTGGTTCTTTGAAAAAATAAACAAGATCGATAGACCCCTGGCAAACCTGACTAAAATGAGGAGAGAAAAAACCCAAATTAGTAGAATCAGGAATGCAAAAGGGGAGATAACAACAAACACCATGGAAGTCCAGGAAATCATCAGAGACTACTTTGAGAACCTATATTCAAATAAATTTGAAAATCTAAAGAAATGGACAGATTTCTAGATACATATGATCATCCAAAACTGAACCAAGAGGAAATTAATCACCTGAATAGACCTATAACAC